GGAATAAGGAAACACCATGAGCAAAAAGAAACGCACCATAGACTCATATTATAAGAAGAGTGAAGGTCAAGGCAGAAATTCTGAAGAGGACAGCGTTGTCAACAAACCCACATCTGCAACCTCAAAAGGGAATATGAACTGGTCTGAAGCCCAAAAAGCCTTCTTAGAAGAGCTCAGGAAGGATTTAAAAAGTCAAATGAGAGAGGTAGAGGAGTCCCTAAAAAAATACAATTGGCCAACTGCAAAAAAAGTATACTGAAGAAAACAAGTCCCTAAAAAATACATTTGGCCAACTGCAAAAAAAGTACACTGAAGAAAACAAGTCCCTAAAAAATACCATTGGCCAAGTGGGGAAGGAGGTACAAAACCTAATGGAAGAGAACAATTTGTTAAAATTTGGAATTGGGCAAATGGAAGCTAATGATTCTATGAGAGAGCAAGAATCAGTCAAATAGAAACAAAAAATGAAAAATAGATGAAAAAGTTAAAATACCTCATTGGTAAAACAACTGAACTGGAAAATAGATCCAGGAGAGACAATTTAAAAATTATTGGTCTACCTGAAAATCACGATGAAAAAAAGGAAATCATCAAGGAAAACTTCCCTGAGATCCTAGAACTAGAGGGTAAAATAGCCATAGAAAGAATCCACTGATCACCTCCTGAAAGAGATTCCAAATTGAAAACACCAAGGAATATAGTAGCCAAATTCCAAAATTACCAAGTCAAAGAGAAAATACTGCAAGCAACCAGAAAGAAACAATTTAAATATCATGGAACCACAGTCAGGATTATGTAGGACCATGCAGCTTCTACATTAAAAGACTGTAGGGGGTGGAATATGATATTCTGTAAGACAAAGGAACTTGGATTACAACCAAGGATCAGCTGCCCAGTGAAAATGAGCATGATCTTTCAGGGGAGGAGATGGATATTCAATGAAATAGGGGACTTCCATACCTTCCTGATAAAAAGACCAGAGCTCAACAGAAAATTTGATCTTCAAATACAAGACTCAAGAGAGACATAAAAAGGTAAATGGGACAGAAAGATGTAATATGTAGTTAATAAGGGCAAACTGTTTACATCCCTGTAAGGGAAGATGACACCTGTAACTCTTGAGAACTGTATTGTTATTACACCATGTTAAAGGGGTATAGATAAAGGGGGGGTATAAATTGACTTTGATGTAATGATGAAAGAAATCTAATCAAGTGGGTTAAATGGATCTAAGTAAGTAAATTAATCTGATCTAACTAAGAAAATGTACCAAGAGAAAAGGAAAGGAGGAGGCAGCCAAGAGTAAATTACATCACAGGAAAAGGCACAAAATCCTATTACTGCAGAGGGAAAGAAGGGTGGGAGATGAGCATTGTTTGAACCTTACTCTCATCAGATTTAGCTCAAGAAGGGAATAACATAATCTGTTAGGTATAGAAATCTAACATGCCTTATAGGCAGTATGAGGGAAACGGGGAAAGAAAAGAGAGGGGGTTAATAGAAGGGAGATGAGACTGAGGGAGTTGGTAGTCAAAAGCAAAACATTAGTGAGGAGGGAAAAGGAGAAAGGAGAAGGAAAAGCATGAACGGGAGGGGGAAGGATGGAGAGAAAGACACAGTAATCATAATTGTGAATGTGACATATGAATGTAATGGAATACTATTGTGCTGTAAGAAATGATGAACAGGAAGACTTCGGATAAACCTGGAAAGACTTGCATGGTTTGATGCTGAGTGAAGTGAGCAGAACCGGGAGAATGTTGTACACAGTAACAGCCATATTGAGTGATGACTGACTTTGATAGACTTAACCTCTCTCAGCAATACAAGGATCCAAAACATCTCCAAAAGCCTCATGATGGAAAATGCTATCCACATCCAAAGAAAGAACTATGGAGTTTGAATACAGATCAAAGCATACTATTTGCTATTTTTTTCTTCTGTTGTGTTTTGTTTCCTCTTTCTGGTGGTTCCTCCTATTAGTTATAATTCTTACTTACAACATCACTAATGTGAAAATATGTTTAATAGGAATGTATATGTATAGCCTATATTAGATTGCATGCTATCTTGAGGGAAGAAGGTAGGGAGGGAGGGGGAGAAAAATTTAAGACTCAAAAGCTCATGGAAGTGATTGTTGATAAATTAAAATAAATTAACAAAAACAAATTTAAAAACTGTTTGATACTGGCTAAGAAATAGAGTGGTGGATCAGTGGGATGTGTTAAGTATGCAAGACACAGTAGTTAATGACTATAGTAATCTATTATTTGATGAACCCAAAGACCCCAGCTTCTGGGATAGGAATCCACTCTGACAAAAACTGCTGGGAAAACTGGAAAAGAGTGTGGCAGAAACTAGGCATTGATCAAAATCTCATGTCATATACCAAAATAAAGTTAAAATGTTTTCATGACATAGATATAAAGGCTGATACTATAAGCAAACTGGGAGAGCAAGGAATAGTTTGCATATCAGATCTATGGGGAGGAGAATTCATGACCAAACAAGAGATAAGAGAACATTACAAAAACAAAATGGATAACTTTGATTACATTAAATTGAAAATTTTTGCACAAACAAGGCCAATGCAACTAAGATTAGAAAGAAGATAAAAAATTGGGGAAGAATTTTTACAAGTAGTGTCTCTGATAAGGGCCTCATTTCTAAAATATATAGAGAACTAAGTCAAATCTATAAGAATACAAGTCATTCCCCAGTTGATAAATGGTCAAAGGATATGAACAGGTAGTTCTCAGATGAAGAAATTAAAGCCATCTATAGTCATATGAAAAAATGCTCTAAATCATTATTGATTAGAGAAATGCAAATCAAAACAACTCTGAGGTACCACATCACACCTACCAGATTGGCCAACATGACAAAACAGGAAAATGATAAATGTTGGAGAAGATGTGGGAAAATTGGAACGCTAATATGTTATTGGTGGAATTGTGAAATGATCCAGCCATTTTGGAGAACAATTTGGAACCATGCCCAAAAGTCTAAAAATGTGCGTACCTTTTGCCCCAGCAATAGCACTTCTAGGGTTGCATCCCAAAAGGATCATAAAAATGGGAAAGAACGAACTATGGAATTTGAATGCAGATTGAAGAATATTATTTGCTGTTTTTTTCTCTTCTGTTGAGTTTTGTTTCCTCTTTCTGGTGGTTCCTCCTATTAGTTATAATTCTTACTTACAACATTGCTAATGTGAAAATATGTTTAATAGGAATGTATATGTATAACCTATATCAGATTGTGCACCGTCTTGGGGAGGATAGTGCGGAGGAAGGGGGAGAAAAATTTTAAACTCAAAAGCATATGGAAGTGATTGTTGATAAATCAAAATAAATTAATTTTTAAAAAAAGAAAAAAGGTAGACTAACCCAAATGGCAAAAGAGGTCCAAAAAGCCAATGAGGAGAAGAATGCCTTAAAAGGCAGAATTGGCCAAATGAAAAAGGAAGTCCAAAACCTCACTGAAGAAAATAATTCTTTAAAAATTAGAATGGAGCAAATGGAAGCTAATGACTCTTTGAGAAATCAAGAAATCAGAAAACAGAACCAAAAGAAAGAAAAAATAGAAGACAATGTGAAATATCTCATTGGAAAAACAACTGACCTGGAAAATACATCCAGGAGAGATAATTTAAAAATTATTGGGCTACCTGCAAACCATAAACAAAAAAAGAGCCTAGACATCATCTTTCAAGAAATTATCAAGGAAAACTGCCTTGATATTCTAGAACCAGAGGGTAAAATAGAAATGGAAAGAATCCACTGATCACCTTCTGAAAGAGATCCCCAAAGGAAAACTCCCAGGAATATTATAGCCAAATTCTAGAGCTCCCAGGTGAAGGAGAAAATATTGCAAGCAGTCAGAAAGAAACTATTCAAGTATTGTGGAAACACTAAAACAAGATTTAGCAGCTTCTACATTAAGGTATTGAAGGGCTTGGAACATGATATTCTGGAGGTCAAAGGAACTAGTATTAAAACCAAGAATCACCTACCTGGGAGCCAAGATGGTGGAGTAAAAGCAGTGACTTGCTTGAGCTCTCCACCAAACCCCTCTAAATACCTGTAAAAATTGCTCTAAACAAATTCTAGAGCAGCAGAACCCACAAAAAGACAGAGTGCGACAAATTTCCAGCCCAAAACAACCTGGATGGTTGATTGGAAAGGTCTGTAACACCAGGCTGGGAGAGGACCACAGTTCAGCATGGGCCACACAGGCAAACATAGGGTCTTAGCAAACCTGGAGCAGGCCTCAGGGAACTGAATCAAGGGAAGCTGTGGTGGTTTCCAGACTTCTTAACCCACAAACATCAAAAGACAACTCATAAGGTCAGTGGGAAAGGTCTGTTGGACATTGTTGATAGAGGAGCTTGATCTGGCTCTAGTCCTGGCACAGTCCTGGGGCAGTGGCTGGTTCTGGAGCTCTTAGCCCACAGATAGAGGGGGGATTGAGCAGCTGATCTGAGGGGATTGCAGGGATCGCTTTGCTGGTGCGGAGGCAGGATTCTCTTGCTTTTCCTATGCTTGCATCTGGGTCATGCTCCTGCGTGGCGATCCAGGAGTAAGGAAGAGCTCTGGTGTGGTGGAGCTTGTGGTGGTGATACAGAGAGAATCCTCCTCACAGTTCCAAGGCAGAAAAGAATGCTTCTAGTCACTCATAGACCAGAGCACAGGCCAGGAAAGGAGTAACCACCTCTCCTTTGATCATATCACCTTGGAAGAACTGAAAATTTATAGGTCCCTAGAATTATCTCTGAAAACAGCTGCACAAAACCCCTGGATCTTGAGACAGTACATTCTCCACAGTGAAAGCAGACCCCTACCTTAACAAAGAGTTTAATAGTCAAGTATTTTGGCTGGGATCATAAGCAAACAGTGCAAAAAAAAGTCAGACCATAGAATCTTACTTTGGTGACAAAGATCAAAACATACAACCAGAAGAAGATAACAAAGTCAAAGCTCCTACATCCAAAGCCTCCAAGAAAAATACGAATTGGTCCCAGGCCATGGAAGAGCTCGAAAAGGATTTTGAGAAGCAAGTAAGAGAAGTAGAGTACAGACTGGGCCCTAGCAAACCCACAGCAGGCCTTGAGGTGAGTGAATCACTGGCAACAGTGGTAGTTTCCAGATCTCTCAGGTTACAGATGCCAAAGACAGCTTAGGAGGTCAGCAGGAAAGGTTTGTCCCACCTGGGTGAGAGTGAAGCACAGTCTAGTTCAGGTTGATCCAGTGCAGCGCCTGCCACAGCAAGTCAAAATCAGGCCTTTGGAGTGATTGAATCAGCAGTGGCAGTGACAGCAGCTGCTTCCAGAGTTCTCAGCCCATAGACAGTAAAGGGGTCGAACAACTGGTCACAAGGAGATGACAGCGGTTTTTTGACTGGCACTGGAGCAGGACTCTGTTACTTTGCCCATACGCAGAACTGGCTCCCAGTCCTGGGTGGTAGTCCCAGGGCAAGGAGGAGAACTAGCATAGCAGAGCTTGCAGCCATAGTGGATGGGGAACCTTCCTCACAGTTCCAGGGCAGAAAAGAGTGCTTGTGGTCACTCACAGACCAGAGCACAGGCCAGGAGAATAGTAAACACCTACTTCTGACCAGTTTGATTGGTATGGCACTGAATAAGTAAATTAGCTTAGGTAGAATTGTCATTTTTATTATATTAGCTCGGCCTACCCATGAGCAACTGATGTTTTTCCAATTATTTAGATCTGATTTTATTTGTGTGAAAAGTGTTTTGTCATTGTGTTCATAGAGTTCCTGGGTTTGTTTCGGGAGGTAGACTCCTAAATATTTTATAGTGTCTATAGTAAGTTTAAATGGAATTTCTCTTTCTATCTCTTGCTGTTGGGCTTTGTTGGTAATATATAGAAATACCAATGATTTATGTGGGTTTATTTTATAGCCTGCAACTTTGCTAAAGTTGTTTATTATTTCAAGTAGTTTTTTACTTGATGGACTTCTATATTTTGTGGAACAAAAGAGCTGGGGTTATCACCAACGGTAACTTACCCAAGAAGGTTAAGTATAATCATGAATGGAAAAAAATGGGCATCTAACCAACTGAAAGTCTTTCAGGTATTTATGACAAGAACAGCAGAACTTGATGGAAAATTTGACATGTAAGGTGCAGGAGAAATATAAGGTAAGCATTTAAGACCAATTATAAAGGACTCAATAAGGTCAAATTGTTTACTTCTTACACGTGAAAATGTTATCAGTATTCTTATGATTGTCTTCATTATTTGGGTAGTTTGAAAGAAAGGCTTGGGCTGAGATGTGTATGATTGGTGATTCTAAAAAAATAAAATTGTATAGGGAGAGATAAAAAGGAGTAATTATCTCTTACAAATGAGGCATGAAAGGAGGAATTGATACAGAAGAAGTAAATGGGGAGGAGGGTGGGTAGTGCTGGAACCTGACTCTCATCAGAAATGGGTTAAAGAGGTTACAACATGTACATTGAGAAGCGTATAAAAGTCTTCTAAATTCAGAAAGAAATAAGAGGGCTTAGGAATAGGGTAGGGGGAGAGGATAAGGTAGGGACTCTTAGAGGGATGAGTAGGTTAAGGAATAGAGGGCAAAGCAATAAGTAGAAGAAATTAGAGGAGTAAGGAGGGATAGGGTAAATAAGGTGAGAAAGATGGTGAGGAAAAATAGGAAGGAAGGAAATACACAACAAGTAATTATAGCTTAGAATTGTGAATGGGCTGAATTTATCTATACAATGGAAACAGCAGATTAGAAATTGGAATTCAATGATATGTTGCTTTCAGGAAACAATCAAAATGACAGATACATACAAAAATAAAGTGAAGGGCTGCAGTAGTATTCATTATGTAAAAAAAGCAGGGTTAGTAATTATGATCTCAGACCAAGTTAAAGCTGAGATAGATTTAGTGAAAAGAGAAAAATAAGGAAACTATATTATGTGTCACCAATAGTATTCAATAATGTTTTAGACCATTTTAAATAACTCAACAGTATAAAATATCTAAGAGTGTACCTGCCAAAACAGACAGGAACTACATGAACATAAACATAAACCACTTTTTGTACAAATAAAGTCATATTTAAATAACTGGAGTAATATTTATTGTTCATGGGTAGGTAAAGCACATATAACAAAAAATGACAATTTTACCTAACTAATTTATTTATTCAATACCATCCCAATTAAATTACTAAAAAAAAATCTTACTGAGTAAGAAAAAATAATAAAGTTCATTTGGAAGAACAAAAGGTCAGAAATTTCAAGGAAGCCAGGGGAAAAGGTGTAAAGGAAGGAGACTGAGCAATATCAGACCTTAAACTATAAGGCAAGAGTATTGTTGAAGTGTAAAACACATAATTTTGATTATTTTAAATTAAAATTTACTTGTATAAATAAGACCAATGCAGCCAAGAATACACAAATGCAGAAAACTGGGAAGAAACTTTCATAGACCATCTCTCAGATAGGATGTGATTATGTTGGAATACTGCTGTCGTGTACTACATGCTGAGGTAGTTGATTTAGAAAAACATGGAAAGACTTAGACCAATGAAGGAAGATGCTATCCACCTTCAGAGAAAGAGATGGCAAGTGGAAATATGCATAGTACAGTTTTACATATGTGTATATGAGTGTATATATGTGCATATTTGTAGATATCTATGTTTATGTATAGATATCCACATCTAATTGTAGCCTTCTTTAGGGTGGAGGGAGGAGAGGAAGGGGAAAAAAAAACAAAGTAAAAAGTGTGCAACAGAGAACAGAAGGAAGCATAGAAAAGCTAGGTAGCTTTGAAAAACAATGTGTAGTATTTATTATACTGGTTTCCTTGAAATGGAAATCTATTGTTTTATGATGAATTCTTATGTTCTGCTGTGTATGTGGAAATGTTCTTTTTTTCTTTTCTAATTTTGTATTTAAGTTTAAAATGAATAAAATAATTACCAAAAAAAAAGAAAGAAAAGAAAAGAAAAGAAAGGCTTCTCATAGAAAGGGGAATGCTAATTGGAACTTCAAAGAAGTCAGGGAAACCAGAAGATAGAGATGAGGAGGGAGAGCACTGCAAGGAAGGAGAACAACCCATGGAAATAGCCAGAATTGGGAGATGAAGTGTCTTGTGCAAAGACCAGCAAGGTGACCAATGTCACTGGATCACAGACTATCTAGGTAGGGAAAGTATAGGGTGGAGAAAGAGTGTAAAGATGGGGGAAGGTTATTACAGGCTTTGAATGCCAAACATAAGGTTTTATATTTGGTTTTTGAGGAGTTTCTTGAATAGAGGAGTGACATGGCAAAACCTATGGATTGGGAATATCACTTTTCAGACCTTTCTTCCAAATAAATATACACCCACCATTAGGCAGTTTGACCTCTATTCCGTTAGAAAGAAGTAAGCTCCTCATAATTCCACCCCTTGGTCTGCTAAGCCATTTCTGGGAGTGAGTTGTCTAAACAATCCCAGAGTAAAGGAAGCCTGGCTTTTGAGGGGGACCTGAGATATTTCTGCAAAATGTATAAAACCCTCTGAGGGAGCAAAGACCTTGAGGCCAAGGCAACTCTGCAGTACAGACAGAATACAGAAGGACTGGAAAGAGTCAGCCAGAATTATTTCTAAAACTAGTCTATTCTTATCAGGCAAGTCTTCCTGGAGAACGTATTACTAGAAACCATGGATCAGAGAGCCTTCCCCTCCCAAGGGTGACACTGATCTGTTACTGACATGACTTCTGGGAGGTTTGGCACATGTCCTGGATAGTTACATGTAGCTGCAGCTGTAGCTTATTGGGGCAAACCTTTTGCCTTGAGATGGGAGAATGCCAGTTTGCCAGATGAAGACAGGTTGAGGACCACTTGAGTTAGCTGGGTGCTCTGACTGGCACAAGGAGCATTATTGGGCAAGAATTATCTAAATGTCTACCCTATGTGTTCTCTTCTCCAGTCTCATGGCTCCAGTCTCAGCAGTAAGTTGAACCTCTGGGTAAGAGACAATAGAGTGAGTTTCTGGCTGTAAGCCATCAGTCCCCACTCCCATCAAGAGAGATCCCTTCACCTGCCATTAGCCACCAGTGCCATTAGCTGCCCTTAGGTGCTCATTACACAGTTCCTGAAAGCTAAGAACTCTGTCTCTGGCTGCTGAATGTGCTGTCCCAACTTTTGGTCTTATTATGCTGGCAGTCAACAGCAACCAGAGAATTCTGGGTTTGGTGCTTTTTTTTTTAAGCCTCTTAGCTAGAGCCCTCCAGCATGCATTAAGTTCCTCATGCTGCCTGTTGGGAGCCAGCTCTCTCTTGCATGGAGATGACTGAGAATCCATGATCAGGAGGTCTCTTGGGACCAGGAGCCATGCAGTGTCTGGCATCCAGTCACCCTATCCTCCATATTTGCAGGGCTCTTCCCCCAACTCAACTACAATGTGAGTCATGAGACCTTTGAATCTCATCCCGATTGCCAACTATGCCAAACGTTAGAGGCCAGCCTGATACTAGCCCTCAGGTCAGTTGGGACTGTTGGGATGAAATAGGGTACTCCCAAGTTATTGAAGTTAACAACTGCATGTCTACTTTGGGCTCACGCAGCATGGTAGTGATGACAGATGACCAATGGGGATCTGAGTGCATCAGACACAATATTTTTGAAGAACCACAGGATTGGTTGTGCTACCATGTGCCCATAGGGTCTGTATATGTGCATGCATATATGACTATGACTAGATTAGGTGGTTTACTGAGAGGATTCCTAGCAGTTTTTCTATTGTCTTTGTAGCTGAAGTGATGATTTTTTATGTCTGGATATCTCATGTAAAGTAAGCTGTTGTGTAAATCCCTGAAAACTCGTTTGAGGGTCACTTCCCATGTTCCCTCTTTCAATAAGCCTTCCATGGCTTATTCACACTCCTGATGTAGACTTACCAACTGATTTCTAATTAAGCTTTCAATTGCTGGGACATCATTCTGAGTTTCCCATTGCAAAACCCATTTTCTCCAGCTGTAGGGAGGAAAAATCAGGGTCTTACCTATCATACTGGCAGGGCCTAGATCCTCCATCAATGGTTTTGGCACTGGATGAGCAGCAGCCCTTCCCATTATCTTTGATGAAGTTAGGAGAGGCCTCAGTAGATAGAGGTTGTACTACATAGTGAATTCCCTGGCCCAAATATGGCTGTAGAGGAATGCCTGGGTAGAAGGAGGCCTATGTGGCAAGGCCTCAGACTCTTCCATCTGGATGTTAGAGTATTCCCAGCCACTTAGCAAAGTGATTTTCTTCTTAAGTGCAGGTCCAATTATGTCACCTCCCTATTCAAACTCTTATGGCTTCCTATTTCCTCCAGGATCAAATGCAAAATCCTCTACTTGACATTTAAAGTCCTTCCTAACCTAGGCCCCTCCTACCTTTTCAGTCTTTTTACACTTTACTCCCCAATACTTGATCCAGTGCCCCTGGTCTCCTGGCTTTCCAGGAACAAGACACTCCATCTCTTGGCTCTGGGCATTTTCTCTGACTGTTCTCCATGCCTGGAACACTCCCTCCTCCACTCAAGCTACTGACTTTCCTTTAAGTCCCAACTAAAATCCCACCTTCTGTAGAAAGTGCCCCTCCATTTCCTTTCTTCGTGTTATTTCCTATTTATCCTGTATATAGCTTGCTTTGTACATAACTGTTTACATGTTGTCTTCCCCATTAGATATTAAGCTCCTTGAGGGCAAGGACTATATTTTTTTCTCTTTTCCCTAGCACTTAGCACAGTGCCTGGCACATAATAAATGTTGATTGATTGATTGATTGATTGCAGTAGGACCCGATTGTAGCCTGGAGGACAGCTGAGAAGAAGGAAGCCTCCTTAAGGTGATTGGCTGAAGAACAGCAGCCATAGGTGATCTAAGGCTGCCCCAAAGCAGCTGGAGGAGCATCAGGGCTAGGAGCTGAGCAGGACCCAACCAGCTCTGCACACCTAGGAGCAGGAAGCAGAGCAGCTGGTATGTGAGCTGGAGCAAGCACGCAGTGATCTGGCCAAGAGCCAGAGGTTCCAGGAGGAAGAGTGTGCTCAGTGGGAGCGGGAGGTGGTACGTGGTGGGGGGGGAGTGAGACCAGGCCAGGGCAAAACTGGCCACTGAGAAGGTGGCCAAAAGTGAAGGTGGAGGGGAGGCTGCAGAGCTCCCTCAGTGAGCAGCAGATGGAGTTAGCTGCCCTGCAGGAAGCTTTGGCCCAGGCCCTGTAAGGAGCAGAAGGGAAGGAATGGCTGCCCAGAGAGCTCCAAAATTAGGAGACCTTCCTAGCCCTACCCTTACCTACCCCTTGAGTGCCCACCCAAGATTCCCAGCTCTGAACTCCAATTGAGGTAAGCTCTGCTGAAAATAGTAGTATCCCATCAGTGTTCCTCCCAAACCAGCAGAGGGAGGACGTCTACTCCTTCCCCTTGCCATGGACACCATGGACAGTTGGCTCTTTGGACAATCAACAGTTGACAATGGAGACACTTCTCTTTCCCCACCACATATCCTATCTGGATTTATTGAATGATGACTTTGTTTCCCTTACTGTCTCTTTATGTGATCTGGGTATGCTGTTAAATTGTGGTGCTTCCTAGGCTGCTCTCTCACCCACCCCTCCATCCAGCAGCCCCTCCGTCCCTACCCTTAATGCTAAACACAACACTCTGAGCTGCTAATGCCCCTGGCAACTTGCCTGGCTATTAATGAAGTGGGAATCAGAATAACTAAGTTGGGAGAAAAGGATCAGAAATTGGATCTATTAGCTCTCTATTAGCCTCTATTAGCTTTGGCTTTGCTAGCTTCTGGGGAGGGAGGTGGGGTTTAGTGATTGGTTGATGGGGGCAGAAGAGGTGGAGGAGGTGATTTCCCCTCCACAATCTGGGAATATGAGTGACTGAGCTAAAGGTGAAGAGTATACTTATATAGGCTACACCTGCCTATACTCCATATCAGTTCCTTGAAGCTAATTTTGCAAGGTGTGGCTTGGGGGTAGATCTGTGTTTTGAGTGTCTGGGAGTGGGTTGGAGGTGCAGGAAGAAAAAATGGGCAGTGCAAACTGAAAAATTAAATTACCAAGGAGCCCATAGAGGTTATAGCAAAAAACTTTACACCAACTGTCAACTCTGAACAATAAAATAAAACACCAAAGAGCTTACAGAGGTCATAGGCAAAAAGTCTTTTTTCTTTTTTTATTCCATTGGAGGAGTAAAACTAGATACGTGTGCCAAGGCCTGGTCTAGGACCAAGGAGACCTAAATCTTGATGCATATACAGGTGGCAAGACAAAGAATCAGGTAATGAGGTATTAATGGCAACGATGTGGTAATTTTGCCTAATGATGAAAAGTCTATTCATAGTAGGGCTTCATGACTCTAATGTGGTTCCTTCAGGTGCTTGCCCAAGCTCAGGGACCACCTGAGGTTGGTGTGAGCCAATTTTGTTATTTAGCTGCAGCAGAGCTCATTCAGAGGGTAAGCGTAGAGGACAGTTATTATGCCACGGTCAGCACACAGCTTGCTTACTGGGCTTTAGCTCTGGAAAACAAGGTGTCTCCTAATAATAAGAAAAGAGAGGAGTGAAAAAGAGAAGAGTAGTCTTAGTGTAAGGATCCTAACAATATAACACATGTACTCTCCACAGTGAACTCCACAGCCACTGGTGCAAAGGAATGAATTGCATCACTGCCTCACTCCTAGACCAGGTCTGGGGATTTGGGCCCTTGCTTGCATGCTTGGACAAGCATTTAAAATCCAGTCCCTGTACCTGAATGAGTCCTGAGTCCTTTCTTCTCCTTCCTCCTGTTTGCATTTCCTTCTTCCTCTAGGTGGAGGAACTGAGTAAGAAGCTGGCCCAACAACAAAATCTCAAGGCAAATTATGGGAGCAGGGAAGGGTACTGACTTTGGATGGGGAGGAGCAGAGATAGTGCCTCCAGCCAGTGCTATTTAAGTCCTGTCTCTTCAATGCCATGTATCCAGGACAGAGGGGAATTGAATGTGGCACTATGGGTGCCCTTACCTCTGCAAGCAACATCTCCAAAGGTTACCTGGCTCTGCCTTAAGGGCCATTGTGTGCAAAGAGGGAACTGCTCTGAGGAAGAAGTTGCCATTTTCCTTGCTCCTTCTGTCCTTCTTGTAGCCTGAGTCCTAGTCCGATGCCACCAAGCAGGCTAGGAATCGCCCATTGGTGGGATATACCCAAAGTTCTGGCAACAGTAAGTGGACCAATTTGGATGGGATGTGGTGTACATGAAGAGGAAAGATTAGTGTGAAATATCTGGACAAGTGAGTTCGAGATAGATTATGAAAGACTTTCAGTGCCAAGGTGTGTCTATCTTTTAATCCTTGAAATAACAGGAAACCAAGGAAGGCCTTTGAGTCTAAATAAGGCAGTGATATGGTTGGTCAGGCCCATGCCTTAGGAAAGCAACAAGGAGACCAATTAGGAAACATTCATAAGAGTCCAGGCAAGAAATGGCTGAATGCCTAAATGAATCTTGGGGTTATGTTAGTAGAGGGAGGCAAAGAATTGGCAACTGATTCAGGACAGGGAGGGAAAGGGACAAGAAGTGGGGGATGACACCGAGGCTGCAAACATCCTCAACCTTCACATGCTTCAACCTTCCAACCTTCCCATACCTGCTTTCTCCTTGGCCCTATACTAGGTGGTGTAGGGAACAAGGGCTTCATATTCATCAGTAAATATCTAATGAAATCTGTATTGGAGAAAAGAACACTAGATCTGGTCACGAGACTTAAGTTTAAGCCCTGACTGTTATGTAATATTGCTGATCTTGGGTAAGCCATACAACCTATTTAAGGCTCAGTTTCCTCATCTTTAAATTGAGGATACCTACCTGATTACTTTTCGAGGTGGGGGGGGATCAAATGTGATGAGAGTATGCAAAAACATCGTGGGACCTGGTAGGGCATAATCCAGACATGAGGGGATAAGGAAGGAGGTAAAGTACATATTGGAATAATCCTAGGTCTTAAGAAGAGTGGACAGAAAAGCTGCCAATTAGAAGATGTGGCCCTTCTAGAAGGATAGGATCTCTCTTGGTTTTGACTCTCCTGCATCCAGATGTTCAAAAAGGAAATGGGCAGTCCAGGCAGGGGCTACCTGGCAGACTTGGGTCCTCCCTGTGTGTGTCATGTCCTCTTTTCTCTAATAGTATCTTCAGATCATAGAGCTAGAGGCTCCCTAGTCCAACAGCCTCATCTTACTGATAGGAAAACTGCATCCCAGAGAGGTAATGGGTACACAGACATTCACTAGCAGGTGGAATAGGCAGGATTCAGACTGAGGTCAGCTGACTCCAAATCCAGTACTCTTTATATTATGCTATGATGGTTCTTCACTCAAAACATTAAGAAACAGGACCCTTGGAAGAAAAGACACAAAATGTGGGCTCCCAGGTATTTGTGGGAGCTGCTTGAATTGAGAGAAGTTCAAATTGGCTTCATAGTTAACCTCTTCCTCCTCCCTCCCTCCACAGGTCCATGAAAGTGAAATCCAGCAGGAGACTTGCCTTCACCAGGCCCAACTAAGTGAGCCAGAACGAACAGACCACTGAGTGCTCTAAGGCACAGGTGAGGAGCACAAGCCCCTTCAAGCTGTGATGCCCCTCAAGGTCCCACTTCTAGGGAAGAAATCCCTTGAGCTCTCAGCCCTTCTTCCTCCTTCCCTCCTTCCCCCCAGATGGAGAGAGCTCACTATGATGCCAAGGAGCAGAACTGGCTGCAGGAACACCTGCAGCACATGGAGAATCTACAGAAGGAAAATGCGGAGTTAGAGAGGGTCAGTGGGGAGCTGCGGCAGGTTTGGCTGAAGATCAAAGAGGTTGAGCAGGCCTGCCGCCACCTTGCAGCCCGAATTGAAATGCTGGAGGCACAGGTGAGAAATGAGAGACCTTGGAGAACTGGGGGCAGGGCAGAGCAAGGAAGAGAAAATCCTAGCCTTGAGCAAAGGTGTCTAAGGAGTTGAGAGGAAGATGGTGGAGTGAGGAGCAGTGGCTCCCACCGTCGCTGTTGCCTTGGGAACCGATGGTGGGTGGGGAGGGACAGCCCTGATCAGTGGCCCACTAGTCTTTTTTTTTTTTAACATTTTTATTTAAAGTTTTGAGTTCCAAATTCTATCCCTCCCTCCCTGAGATGATGAGCAATCAGATATGGGTTACACACAAGCAATTATGTAAAACATTTCCATATTAGTCATTTTGTACAAGAATACTCAAAAGAAAAAAATGAAAGTGAAAAATTAACATGCTTCAGTCTGTACTCAAACAATACGGAGTTCTTTCTCTGGAGGTCGATAGTTTGCTTCATCATTAGTCCTTTGAGATTGTTGTATTGCTGAGAATAGCTAAGTCATTCACAGTTCATCATAAAATATTGCTGTTACTGTGTACAATGTTCTGGTTATATTCACTTCACTATGTGTCAGTTCATGTATGTCTTTCCAAGTTTTTTTGGAAATCGTCCTTCTCATCATTTATTATAGGACAATAATATTCTATTACAATCATGTACCACAGCTTGTTTAGCCATTCCCCCAATGATGAGCATCCCTTCGATTTCCAGTTCTTAGCCATCACAAAAAGCACTGCTATAAATATTTTTGTACAATCAGGTCTTTTTCCTTTTTCCCTTTTTTTGGATGTCTTTGGGATATGGACTTAGCAGTGGTATGACTGGATCAAAGCGTATGTACAATTTTAGAGCCCTTTTGGCATACTTTCAAATTGGTCTCCAGAATGGTTGGATCACTTTACAACTCCACCAACAGGGCATTAGTGTCCCAGTTTTCCCACATCCCCTCCAACATCTAATATTTTCCTTTTTTTTTTTGTCATAATAGCAAATCTGATAGGTGTGAGATAGTACCTCAGAGTTGTTTTTATTTGCATTTCTCTAATCAATAGTGATTTAGAACATTTTTTCATATGGCTATCAATAACTTTTATTTCTTTCTCTGAAAACTACCTGTTCATATCCTTTGACCATTTATCAATTGGGGAATGACTTGTATTTTCATAAATTTGACTCGGTTCTCTATATATTTGAGAAATGAAGTGGCCCACTAGTCTTGCTAGAACAGGTTCCTCATCCTAGGAAGAACAATTTTCCTGCAGTGATTTGTCCTCATCTTGAAAGGAAAATGGAATCCAGAATTTAGTAGGTTCTTTAGAAGAAAATAGACATTCATTTGAATCATTCTTCCTTCACTGTTTTCTCAGGTGATTCTGCTTCTTTTATTTAACTGCAGTCCTTGGTCTTGTCATGTGGATCTGTCTCCTCTCTACTTTAACTCCATGGACCAGAATGGTAAAGATTTCTTCACTTCATGTTCCACTTCTCAAATCCAGAACATTTAGCTTGTTAGGTGGCTTCCCCCAGGTGCCATCTGACTGGCATCATGCCAATTCTGCCTGGAAAAAAGAAGCAAATTGATGTTGGCATTCGGCAACTATTAGCTTAGATGAGAAAAGAGATTTTTTCCATTTTTCTTTTTCTCTTTTCCTTATTAAAAAAGTATTTTTTTTTTACCAATTATATGTCAAGACAATTTTTAGCATTCATTTTTATAAGACTTCACACTCCATATTTTTCTCCCTTCCTCCCTCCCCTCACTCCTTCCTAAAATGGTAAGCAGTTTGATATAGGTGACACATGTGCTATCATGTACAGCTTATTTCCATATTAGTCACAGTTGTGAAGGAAGAAACAGATTAAAAGGAAAAAAAAAACACAAAACAGAATAGAGTAATTGAATGCAGATTGAATCATACTTTTTTCAGAGTCCATTGGTTCTTTATCTGGATGTAGACAGCATTTCCCTTCATGAATCCTTTGTACTTGTCTTGGATCACTGTGTTGCTGAGAAGACTGAGTAATTCATAGTTAATCATTACACAGTGTTGCTGATAATGTGTACAATATTTTCCTGGTTCTGCTCATTTGACTTTGCATCAGTTCATACAAGTCTTTCCAGGTTGTTCTCAAATCTGCCTGTTCATTTCTTGTAGCAAATATTCCATTACATTCATATACCACAGCTTGTTTAGCCATTCACCAATTAATTGGCATCCCCTCAATTTCCAATATTTTGCCACCACAAAAAGGACTGCCATAATATTGTTGTACATGTGGGTCCTTTTCCTGTTTTTTGTTTTGTTTTTTCTTTTGGCTAGGCAATGGGGTTAAGTGACTTGCCCAGGGTCACACAGCTAGTACGTGTTATGTGTCTGAGGCCAGATTTGAACTCAGGTCCTCCTGAATCCAAGGCCAGTGCTCTATCCACTGCGCCACCTAGCTGCCCCCTTTTCCTGTTTTTATGATCTCTTTAGGATACAGATCTAGAAGTGGTATTGCTGCGTCAAAGGGTATGGACAATTTTATAGCCCTGGGAGCTTAGTTACAAATTGCTGTCCAGAGTGGTTGAATCAGTTCACAACTCTACCAACAATGCATTAGTGTCCCAATTTTTCCACAACTTCTCCAACATTTATTATTTTCCTTTTTTGTCATATCAGCCAATCTGATAGGTATGAGGTGGTACCTCAGAGTTGTTTTAATTTGCATTTATCTAATCAAAAGTGATTTAGAGATTTCTTTGTACACCTATAGATAGCTTTGATTTCTTTATCTGAAAACTGCCTTTTCATATCTTTGACCATTTAGCAACTGGGGAATTGCTTGTATTCAAATAAATTTGATTCAATTCTCTATGTATTTGAGAAATGAGGCTTTTGTCAGAGACATTTGCTATGAAGATCGTTTCCCAGCTTTTTCTGCTTTCTTTCTGATCCTGGTTACATTGGTTTTGTTTGTACAAAAGCTTTTTAATATAATCAAAATTATGTTTTTTACATTTCATACTGCTCTCTCTCTTATTTGGTCATGAACCTATAACTCATGTAACTTCTTCAAGAATTTGGATGCTATACTACTTGGTATATGTTTAGTATTGATATTATTTCATTGTCTATGGTACCTTTTAGCAAGATGTAGTTTCCTTCCTTATCTATTTTAATTAGGTCTATTTTTGCTTTTGCTTTGTCGAGATCAGGATTGCTACCCCTGCTTTTTCTTTTTTTACTTCAGCTGAAGCATAACATATTCTACACCACCCTTTTACCTTTACTCTGTGTGTGTCCCTCTGTTTCAAATGTGTTTCTTGTAAACAATATATTGTAGGATTGTGGTTTTTGATCCAATCTGCTATCCACTTCCATTTTATGGGAGTGTTCCTCCCATTCACATTCATAGTTATGATCATTAACTGTGTATTTCCCTCCATCCTATTTTTCCTCCTATCTGTTCTCTCTCTTATCATGCTTACCTTCTCACCTCCTCACCGGTGTTTTGCTTCTGTCTATCCCTTCCCCCGGTCTGCCCTCCCTTCTGTCAGTCCCCCCTCCCTTTTACTTAATCTCTTTCCCTCCTACTTCTCTGGGTAAAATAGATTTCTATATTCAAGTGATTGCATATATTATTCCCTTTTGAGCCAATACTATGTGATACAATGATCAGAGTAAGGTGCAAGCAAGGCCCATCACCCACTCTCCCATCTTCCCCTCCACTGTAATGGGTCTTTTGCACCTCTTCATGTGAAATAACCTCTCACTTCCTTCTGTACCTACTGTATTCCTTTTTCTCATTCCTTAATTATTTTTATATTATTCCCTCAAATTCACCTTTTACCTGTAACCCCTATTTATATTCCTTCTGGCTGCACTATTAGTGGTACAATTTTTAAGAATTACAAGTATCATCTTCCCATGTAGGGATGTAAACAGTTCAGCTCCATTGAATCTCTTATGTTTCCTTTTCCCTTTTTAGGATTCTCTTGGTTCTTGATATTAGAGATCAATTTTTTTTTGTTCAATTCTGCTCTTCTAATGAAAGTTTGAAATCCTTTTATTTCAATGAATGACCATTTTCCCCCTTGAAGTAGTATGCTTAATTTCACTGATTCTTGGTTGTAGTCCTAGCTCCTTTACCTTCCAGAATATCATGTCCCATGATCTCTGATGCTTCAATGTTGCAGCTGCTAGATCCTGTGTCATCCTGACTGTGGCTCCCTGATACCTGAATTGTTTCTTTCTGACCACTTGCAATAGTTTTTACTTGACCTGATAGTTCTGAAATTTGGCTATAATGTCCCTTGGAGTTTTGTTTTGGGATCTCTTTCCTGAGGTGATCAGTAAATTCTTTCAATGCCTGTTTTGCCCTTTGGTTCCAGGATACCAGGGCCATTTTCCTTGATAACTTATTAAAATATACTGTCCAGGTTCTCCTTTTGATTGTGGCTTTCAGGTCATCCAATGATTCTGACATTGTCTTTCCTGGATCTATTTTCCAGGTCAATTGTTTTTCCAATGAGGTATTTTACATTTTCTTCTATTTTTTTTTCATTCTTTTTAATTTGTTTACATGACTAGAGAAATCAATGTAAAACTGGTTAGGTATTAAGACCATATTAAGAAACATCTTTGTGTTTCTAGGAATGTGTACATCCAGAGCCCTGGTATAATGCCGGCATAAAGAGCCTAGATTCAGACCTACTCTATCCAAGCGGAATTTTGTTAAAGACAGCAATTGCCAAAACAGAATATTAGCCTCTGGTGAATAACGGATCTTGGCCAATGGGAACTGAAATCTAAATCAAAATATATTTTAGGGGAAAAAAAGATTGGGGTAAAGCATAATTTTATAAGGGCAACAGTTAAGATTGAGTACTAGTAAAGTACAACATTCTCAGTCTTGGTGCAGTTTTAAGCTTTAATACCTTAAAACTGCACAAAGACTTTTGGAATACCCTGTGTAAGTATTCACGTCTTTTGAAAGTTGTATGTTTGCAGTAGTTAGAGGTCTTTCAGTTCACTCCAGCAGACCTACCAGTCATTTGTTCATTTTTTTTTTCATTTGTTACCACTCTGTAAAGATAAAGACCAGTGTTGTTGGGGAAATGTCTTACCAAAACGTTGAGAAAGATTTTTAAATCTTGTTTCTCTGCCGTTCCTTTAATGCCTTCTTATTGGTAGTCTTTCTGGCAAGATCTGCAGAGCCATTCTATTCTCCTTACCTCTTCTGTCAAACTTGCGATAGATCCACTCTGATCTATTGGTGCTTCAGACATCAGACCTACTCCTTTAGATCCCTTAGCATTATCCAAGTTCATAGCCAATAACTTAAATGCTCAATGTTTTCCTTAAATATACTCCTCCCAATCTCATTGCAACTAAAATTTGTGTCATGACCAGTTGTTTCAGCCTTATACTTCCTTAAGACACCCCCTGTATTTCTTTTCTGCCTGTGTGTCTTTCTACAGTTTCCTTCCTGGCAGTGGTTTTAGGCAGCACTGTCTGTGGCCTATTGCCATACCTTCTCTTCTTCCAGTCTTCCTCGTTGGTTGGAAAGTTTCCCTTTTGAAAAGTTAAAACGTAAACAAAGGATGTGCAATAATGACATATATATTACTTGTGGACAAAACAATGTTGCAAGTTGCTTGACAAAATCACCAATGTCTTCCATTTTGATAGTTTCACAAGCATTAATGCTTTTTAGCAAAATGTACTGCCATGTTAGGGGCCGGTGAATGAGCCTAGTAGTAATTTTAAAATTAAAAGTGATGAATTCTTTACAATCATAACGAATTATATAACTGAAAAATGGAAAATATAAAAATGTACTTTTTTTTTTTTAATTCTGAACCTGTATCTCTTCCCTGGGGAAAAGTGATAGACTTAAAGGGCTAGCTTAGGAATAGGATTATTCTAGGTTGGAGGCCTCAAAGAATATTCTCGTGGATGTTTGAGCTTCACAGAATATTACAGTATTCTAAACTTACTGTAACTATGTCCAATCTGAACCCCAAACTGAACTATGGACACTCACCCCTCAAGGTAGTGATCCTGGCTTATATTTCTTGTCTAAAGTGAAATTGTTCTTTCCGTGTCCTTGTATGGGTATGTCTTACAGCTTAATCCTGTTTCATTTCTGTATGGAGACATTCTCTGCATCAAGGAACCACAGTAAAATTTACATACTGTAATTGGGTACTGGATCAGCCATACATGAGGGGCTCTGTTAACTCAAGGGTAGTCTGTAGACTGTTTTACATTTCCTGTCTACAGGCCACTATTTCTGGGTTGTGCCAAGAACCCCAATGTTAGAGTCAAAGTATTTGTTTTAGGCTGTCCCCACTTCTCAGTACAATGTATTTTTAATGTGGTTCTCTTTCTACTTGTCTTGCTTGATCTGCATTTTGAGAATTGGAAGTGTAGGTAGATAGAACCTTGATAGGTTGCCAAGCAGGAGAAGTAGGAGAGCATTCACTTACATTTGCAGTATGCAGTTTAAGGATATAACTTTCGAACTTGTACTTGCCTTTCCCTTCCTTCCCAGAAGAAATAAACAGTTTTGCCACTCATAGGATAGTTCATCTAAAAAACAAAAAAACCAAAAAACAAATGGGGGCAGCTAGGTGGTGCAGTGAATAGAGCACCAGCCCTAAAGTCAGAAGGACCTGAGTTCAAATCTGATCTCGGACCAAACACTTAACACTTACTAGCTGTGTGACCCTGGGCAAGTCACTTAACCCCAACTACCTTAAAAAACAAAAACATAGGATAGTTCATTTTTCTCTGGTAAAGCAATTCCTGTCTGTAAATGGCTTCTTTGAGAAACTGGACAAGATGATTTTTCTGAAGTGATTTGAGGGTCCAAATACTTAGGTAATCCAACTATTATAAAACATGGACTCTACATTACAATGAGAAAAGTAGGGAGAGGCCAGATGAACTGAGGGAAAGAGCAGAGCAGCACACTGACTATATGGGGGTGGATGATGAGGAAAAGGGGTGTGTGTGTTTAAGGATAGGGTGCTAGAAGATGCCCTCTTCCCTTCCGTGTTGTAGGATGACCTGGAGGCCCAACAGAACGAAGCATGGGCTCACTGCTCCAAACTGGGAAAGTCCAGAGATTCAGTTCTATATCTGGGAATGGAGGCCTAGAGAGGGAAAGGCCTTGACCAGGTCACCCATCCAGGATCTTCTCTTAGACTCAGAAAGCAAAGAGAGGGCAATTGTCTCTGTACTTTCTGGTTCTGCCTAGTCCTGTGAAGAGCTGTCATGGACTAAAGGAGTGGGGTTCCCTCAAATACCCCCGATATTAGGCCTTTCCTTCATTCCTAACACTCCTGTCTACTTCCCATCAGGAGACCGTTATGAGGACATCCCAATCCCAATCTTTAGCCACCAGCCAAGGAGTCCTAGCCCAGTCACATGCCTGATAACTTCTGACTGAGGAAGAATCCCAGCCAACTGCTCCAATAGTATCAGACCAGGCCTGACCAGTCAAAGCAGCAAGAGATGAGACAAGGAGGCCTTCCAATAAAATGTTAAGCTCAGGCCTTGTCTAGTTTTCTTCCTTGGGTAATCAGATTCCTCAAAAGGGCCTCAGCAAATGGAACAGGTGGTCTCTGGGATCTTTTACTCAGGTCTGAACCTGATGCCACACCATCATGAGCTGGCCATCTGGGCATGGTGGAGAGGGGTCTATACATGGAGATAAGCTAGTAAACCCTTCATTTTGCACCTGGAGAAATGGTGCAGGGGGAGTTGATTTCTCTAAGTCACAGACAAAAAGGAGCAGAGTTCTGGCTGAACCCCCAAAAACTCTACTTCAAAATTCAAAAATCTTTCCACCAAACCTTTTAAAAACCAGAGAAAAATAATCCCAGAGAGTTGAGAAAAGAGGGGCAAGGGAACCCTGGGAGTGGGGAACCAGCCCTCAGAAGGGGATGCCCAGGATCTCAAGGACAGGTCAGGGAGACTCCAGGCAAAGAATGAGGAGACACCCAGAACCTGGAGGTCCTCTTTTCCACAGTCCCTTCTCTGAGGGGAACAGTTTGGTGACCTCCACTGGCCTCAGCAAATACCAGAGGGACAAGCAGCAACTGGGGAGGCCAGCCAGCATAGAGGAAAAGGGGCAATGTTGGGGAATAAGTGGTCTGAACCTTTCCCCACACCCGTCTCCTCCCTCAAAGCCAGTCCATCCTGTAGGGAGAAAAACAAGACATATATTTATAAGCAATGATAACATTTATAAAAATTCAGATGATCCCTGACCCTATTTCCTCCCTACCACTCCAGTTCCCTCTATACCTTCTCTACTCCCTGTCTCTCCAAAAGCCTGAAGGAACTGTGAGGCAGTTAATACCCAGAAGAGAGAAGTGTCATGCTGGGTACCTCTGAATGCCCCCTGAACCACAGGGGCAGAGGATGGAAAGGGGACATAGCCATCCAGTTTCTTTCCCTAGGTTCCATCAGCTGGGGGTGGGGTGAGGGCCTCAGTGTCATTTGTGTGTTGGCAGATGTCTACTCAGGGCAGTGAAGCACTGAGAGGCAGGACAGAGGCTTAGAGGTGGCAGGAGATGCTGAATCTTAAGTTTTGAGATGAGGAAGATTGTGATGGGAGCTGGAGGGGGACCTTTGGAGAGAAAGGCAGAAGAGCCTAGGTATCTGGGGTATGGGTAGCAGAGATGCAGACTCTCTTTTCCCCAACTAATTTTGGGAACTTGCCTTCTCCAATGTCAGCCCCTGGAGCAGCCACAGCCATCAGAACAAGAACCATCCCTATGGATAGAGCTAATGGGAGGCAAAGGGGGCCATGAGGCAGCCCCTTTCTGTGACCAATAGGATATTCCTAAGCTTGTAGCTTAGAAAGACTGAGGAAGGGAGGAAAGGGAAGCTGGACAGCATGGTTCCTGGGGCCTGGCCACCTATAGGGTCTCAGTTTGACTGGGTCTGTCATTCTCTGCTGGAGAGCTAAGAAGGACTGCTATGTTTCAAGGTAAATGGAGGGACAGGGACAGGATGATCTGGCTAGGAATCAGTCAGGCCCCAGTTCCCAGGAAGCAGTTCCCCATTTGCCCTCCTGGGAAGGTGTGCTGTGTGGGATTCCAGGCAGGGAGAGTAAGAGGCAGGTATAGGTGTCTCTGAGATGAGAAGTTTCTCTACACTGAAGCACTGAGACAAGGCATGTGGGCCCCTTGGGAGAGTGGGGGGGATGTCATGGAAGATATGGGCAGAAGATGCTCACAGATCCTGGTCCCTCAGTGCTTTGCCTGAAAGAGACAAGGCAGGTAAAGTGTGAATGGGGACAGAAACCTAGACCAAACACCCCATTTCCTAAACTTGGAGAGTAGTATTTCTCTTCTCTGAATCCTTTGGACACCTAAGGCCCTCAAGCTTCCCCAGAAGAGTAAGTTAAAGGCCCTAATGGAATTCTACGTGTGAATCTTTTCCCCCAACAAGACTGATCTCCCCAAGGTCAAGCAAAGGATCAGAGCACTTCTACCCTGGGTCAAAGGTGTCCCCAGACTACCATTATTTGCACAGGATCCTTGGGGCATAGTGGGGCACTTACGTAGCAGAGAGACCCCTGGTCTGGGGTGAGTCTCAGGTGGGAGTATATTGGTGTTCAATAGCTTTGATGGAGGCACACTGCCCTGGAAACCCTTATGCCTACTAAGCCCCATCCCCTCCCTTGCTCCCTACCTTGCCCCTGGTCTAAGGAAACGTTCTGCTGCCAGCAGTGGTGGTGGTAATATGGGGGAAGAGACAGATCCCACTTTGAATGAGGGAAGAGGCCATGGTTTCAGTTTTCTTAGCAGCCCCTCTGAAGCAGACTGTTCCTCAGTATCTTGGATGTGTTCAGAATGTTGAAGGTCACTGACTAGCATCTGTTGATCTGAGAAAGAAGAGGAAGAGAAAGCTGCTTGCCTATGTGTGGGCAGGTAGGCAGGGCAGCGCCCATACCCAGCTCTGCACAAAGAAAGGTAAGAATATTCCCCTTCCATAGCCTCACCTTTGAGATGAGTACAATGACCCCTTAGGGTTCTTGTACCCCTCTCAGGGCTCTCCTTCCCTCACCTGCTTGTTGGCAGGCAGAGCACTTTTCTTGTGGCCCTCAGTGGCACTCATCTTCTGACCTTCAGGTCTGTCCCAGGGAGTAAGGGGATAAGGGAAACAGCTGGTTGATTTCTTGGCCTGTGGAGGAAGAGGACATGTGGGATATGGAATTCTCTTGAAGGAGACTGGGGAGGTGGCTTAGGGGCTGGCTTGAATCCTGCTTTGGAGTCAGAAGGCTGGGACTGTCAAGTGATGGGTGGTGTGCACCTTGGGAGAGAAGAGCACCCATGTCCAAGGAGGCTCAGGATGGGGCACAGTGTAGATGGTCAGACATGGAGATAAAAGAGAACAGGCTAAAGGGACCCAGCAGGGACCTGTCAGAATACTATTAGGAGATACCCTGTTTTCCAGAGCTAAGACCCAGCAAGTAAGCGGTGCCTTGAGCTTGACATAACAGCAATCCTTTGCACTCACCCTCTGAATGAACTCAACCACAGCAAAATCCCAGAATTGTTTCACACCAGCCCCAGGTATTCTCTGAGTTCAGAAAAGCACCTGTAAGACCCATTTTCTGGTCATGAAGCCATGCTATGGATCAAACTTGTCTCACTGTTGCTGTTACCCTTCATTGTGAAGGCTATAGTTCACTGTGTAGCCATTGCTATATGTATTGAGATTTGCCCACACTAAAACAGGTCCTCTACTAGGAGGAACCCAGGCACATGTGTCTAGTTTCGCTCCTTGCTTGCAAGCCATTTCCCTCACTATAGAAAATAAACTTCTGTCTTAGTACCAGACAATTGTTCTTACCTGCTCTGCCTGTTTGGCTACAGTCTCTGCAGGCCAAGAGGTCTAGTCCAGTTGATGTTTAATGGTGTCAGAAGTGGGATTGGCCATTGGACTCTCCAGTCCTCTTGTTTGGTGAGTCCTCTGCCCTTCTCCCTCCTCCAATGCCCAAGCTCCCACCTTGGTCAAGCTCACCATTCTTTGTGAGGAAAACTCCGTCACCCTCCAGTGACCCAATTCATCTCAGTCACTCTGGTAAGGATATCCTTTTGGCACACTCTGTTCCCCTAACCGATTGTTCCTGCCTGGTCTGTTTGGCTCTGGCCTTCACAGGCCAGGAGGCTCTTATCTGCTCTGTTCTGGTTTCAGCACCCTCCCTGCTGCCTCCCCCCACCCCCAAAGGCTGAGAGTGTTTGGTTAGCTGCATGCCATGTTAAACCAGTAAGTGCATGGCTTGCTATGGACTGTGATTGTGCACCTTATTAGAACTATTTGTGTCTGTTTGTATCTGTCTTGTTATTTTGCATGTGTTTGTGTATTGGTAAAATGTAAAATGTCTTTGTTGTGTTTTTGTTGTTTGTGTATTGTTACCCTGAAAGATTCTAAAAAAAGAAAATGCAGCCAGCCAGAAAAATTTCTAAGAGCTGTAGCCAAAGAGATTAGAACACTGGGAAAGATTAATGAACTTTTGTACTTGAAGCAAATTGTCCCAGTAAACAGGACTGACTCACACTTTAGGCTTCCTGTGTGAGAGTAGGTTATAAGAAAAGAGAAAAAGAAAAGAAAAGAAAACCTGCAAAACACTTTTTTTCCTGTCATTTCAACATTGGCCAAGTTGAAATTACAGAATTAAAGTCAGATAATCAAAATTTGTAGAACTGCCAAAAATATCTTGATAAAATTTGGGTTTGGAGATTGATCCTTTTACGATTGCAGGGGAGAACTCCTGAGATTTGGAGTGATTCTAGGAACTCACTCCTTTCTGAAATAGTGAGTTCTGGGCTACCACTCAGGAGAATTTATTTTAAGAAAAAATAAGTATTAAATTCTATAAAACTTAAAAGTAGATGGCACAAGTAGTAGTAGTAGTAGTAGTAGTAGTAGTAGTAGTAGTAGTAGTAGTAGTAGTAGTAGTAGTAGTTGTAGTAGTAGTAGTTTGCTATAATAGCAAATCTTCATCTTGGTTATTATAAAAGTATATAGGGTAGTTTAAAGATGTAACTTCAGCATATTAATGATGAGTCAACTATCAGATATTTGCTGTATGTCTGAAGGCCCAGAATATGAGTAGTTTTAATTTTTAAGTAAAGGAAAAACGTTAATTAGCTGTTAGGGAAACATAGGTAAAGATGTTCAAGCCCTAAGCTGTGGTTAGTGAAATTTTGCTATTTAAGGTAAAAATTCCTGGGACTGAGAATAACTATTGTTTTGAACTTTGATTACAGGGATAGTTGTCTGAATTGCCATGAAACCAGTAGTAGGAATTGGCATGTGCTGCAGTCTGGGAACTGCTAAAGGTGGATGGATGCCTATGCCTGGGGAAAGTTTTGGGGATGACCTTGGCATGGCCTAAGACAGACTCCTCCTGACTTTATTTACCCATTGTATAATTTCCTTTCTTAAATGGAAATTTCCTCACCTTGCTTTTAACATGCTGTGACTACATGATTGGCTGTCAGATGTGACTCATGCCTAGAATCAAAGCTAAGGGAGTTTTCCCCCCTGTCGTTGTTATATGACATTGTTATAACTATGTCTATCCTTCTCCTTTTATAGAAAATTTCTATAATCAAGAAGTTTTCTAAGTACAATACTAAATCCATTAAATAACAGATGGATATTGGAACATCTCTGAGTCACTACAATAGGATGCAAGTATTAACACCTTACAGTTTTAACCTATATTTGCGGTCAAATTATAATATAGGGATGCCATACTCCTAAGGGGGTTAGACAATTAGACAAAGTAATAAGACAATGATGTAATGTAAAACATTTTCTAAATAAATAGAACAGTAAATTTTGAGAAAGCAACGGGATTAGACTGTTCTAAGAACTATATGCGTATGCATATGATTTGCTTCCATATTTATCTGTCAGGGAAATTCAGGATTTGAGTATGTTTTATTAATAAGTTCTCAAAATTAGATTAAGGAGTTTACACATAAATTGAAAGTGAAATTTTTTTCCCCATTTTTAAAGTATCTGTCTGATAATTTTACAAGGCAAAACAGTTCATTTTATGGTTGGACCCTCATAAGTTTTTAAACACAATTTAGGTAAAGACAGAAATAGAAAATGGTATATAAACTGAAATTCTCCGAAGTTTCAAGGTTGAAGAACCAAATTTACTAAATTATATTAAGTCATAATTATCTAGGAACCTCTATATTTAGAACCACAGAAGCAGAATCCCCTTTAGAGCTGTTCTGAGAATAAAGACTATTGTCCAAGTAAATATATCTAGGGACCAGAAAACTGCATGAGACATCTAGGGCTCAAAATGTGCTGATTAAATGGATATTGGGAATGGGTCACTAGAATACAAGAAGACTTGATGTTAATGTTCATGTTTAAATTTTCTTCGTTACCTTGGGGATGTGTGAATCTCCCTTCTCAAAACTAGTACATTGTGAGCCCTCTAAGTAGTCTGATTTGTAACCTGACATTAATGAAACCTGACTTAATGTAATTGTGATTATGAATTTGTGAAAAAAAACATATACATTTGGTTTATAGTGGATTGAGAGGATTAGGACAGCAAGTGGTTAATAGTGGGAATTGAGTGAACCACTCTGACTCCATCTTGTGACTCAGTCCTGGAATTAGCTTACTACCTATTCAATTATGGGTCTAGTCCAACTTCTGTCTTTTTTTTGTGAGGCAATTGAGGTTAAGTGACTTGCCCAGGGTCACACAGCTAGTAAATATTAAATGTCTGAGGCCAGATTTGAACTCAGGTCCTCCTGAATACAAGGACAGTGCTCTATCCGCTGCACCAGCTAGCTGCCCCATCAACTTCTGTCTTACAAGAAAAACTTATTCAACTGTGGCAATTGGGAGGAAACTTTATTGCATTGTTTGAACCTACCCTTGCAAGGCTGGGAAACTATGTGCTGTTTAGAGACCTTTAACCAAGGACCTATGTTATGCTGACCAGAAACTCAGATCCAAAGATTGATGCAAGGAGTTTTCTCACAATTGTACATATCATGCTGGCCCCCTACTGATCAATAAATCATTGTCCTGGACCAGGTCCTTATGACTACTCCCACAGCTGCTAGACTCATTGGTGTGGACTCCTAGATTATCTGAAGAAAGCCCCTACTCTTGAGTGGATGGCAGAACCCTCTGGGGACATCGAGGTCAATCTAGTACAGACACAGAAGCAGCTGACACCCAGATAATATGGCTGTCCCAAGATTCCAAACAAGGGCTGAGTATACTGTTTTAGTTTTTTTCCCTCTCTTCCCTTTTGTTCCTTTAACAAATAATGGAGAGCCAAGAGGACTTCCGCTTCCGGGAGCCAAGATGGCAGAGGAAAAAGGTAGTCGCTCTCACCCTCCCCTATAAACCTCTGAAAACCCAGAAAATGTCACCCCAGAAAAAAAAAACAACCTTGGAACACCTGAACTAGAAGAAAGACAGGGAGCAGCAGTGCAGCAGCCCAGTAAACGGGTCTCCCAGTGCCTCAGCAAAAATAAGGAAAGCAGCACTACAAAGGGCCCCAGGCAGCTAAGCACCCTGCAGCATTCATCTGAAAGGAGCTAAAGAAAACAACCTAGAGTCTTCCTAAAGTCCCAGCCTTGCTGATTCTAACCCAACACCAGGTAAGCTGTCAGAACCCTACAGCCTCCAACTGTTAACCAGGAGAAGATCCTGAAGCCTAGGTGATAGAGCAGGCAAACACCAACATCTGGACCTCCAAGTGCCTCAGTGAGGGTGGGGAACCGGTGGAAACCAGCTCAGAAAACCACCAGGTGCCTCAGCACTCTACTGCAAAGGAATCTCCCAGTGCCTCTCCCAGAAACGAGGGAGGCAGCATTACAAGGGGTCCCAGGCAGATAAACACCCTGCAGCACCCATCTAAAAGAAGTTGAAGAAAGCTAAAGGAAAGGAAAAGCAAGCAACCTAGAATTGCCTGAAAGTTCCAGCCTTGCTGATTCCAGCCCAATACCAGGTAAGCTGCCAGAAACCTACAGCCTCCAATTGCCAACATAAGAGGCCCCAGTACACAAAGCCATTGACCAAGAGCTAGGCTCCCAACACAAGAAGCTTGGGTCAGTATCTGCTGTTTCCCAGCAGGAGAGCTCAATCTCTTTAAAGGCTGGGGAATAAAGAAACACCATGAGTAAAAAGAAACGTACCATATATTCATATCATGAGAAGAGTGAAGATCAAGACAGAAATTCAGAAGAGGACAACATTGTCAACAAACCCACATCTGCAACAACAAAAGGGAATATGAGCTGGTCTGAAGCCCAAAAAGCCTTCTTAGAAGAGCTCAAGAAGGATTTTAAAAGTCTAATGAGAGAGGGAGAAAAGTCCTTAAAAATACAATTGGCCAATTTGAAAAAAAGTACACTGAAGAAAACAAATCCCTTAAAAATACAATTGGCCAATTGGAGAAGGAAGTACAAAAACTAACAGAAGAAAACAATCTGTTACAAACTAGAATTGCACAAATGCAAACTAATGACTCTATGAGAGCAAGAATCAGTCAAACGAAACAAAAAATGAAAAAACAAATGAAAACATAGAATACCTCATCAGTAAAACAACCGACCTGGAAAATCGATTCAGGAGATACAATTTAAAAATTATTGGACTGCCTGAAAATCATGATGAAAAAAAGAGCTTGGACAGTATCTTTCAGGAAGTCATAAAGGAAAACTGCCTTGAAGTCCTAGAACCAGAAGGGAAAATAACCAGAGAAAGAATACACCGGTCACCACCTCAAAGGGATCCCAAATTGACAACACCAAGGAATATAATAGCAAAATTCCAAAATTACCAGATGAAAGAGAAGGTGCTGCAAGCAGCCAGAAAGAAACAATTTAAATATCATGGAACCACAGTCAGGATTACACAGGACCTCGCAGCTTCTACATTAAAAGACCGCAGGATGTGGAACATGATATTCCATAAGGCAAAGGAGCTTGGATAACAACCAAGGATCAACTACCCTGCAAAAAGGAGCATGATTTTTCAAGGGAGGA